GGCCGCCGCTGGGACCACAGGGGGGGACAGGGGGCCTGGGGGGGCAGGAAGGGCTGAGGCAGTGCTGGGGGGCTCTCCTGGGAGAGCCTGGCCAGCCAGGCCTGGAGATGGAGCCAGAGGTGGGGAAGGAGCAGCAGGAAGAACAGCTAAAGGAAAGAAACAGAGTGAAGGGATCAGAGAGGGAGCATGGGGGGGTGGGGGGCACCAGCCACCCCAGCCCTCCCAGTTCCCGGTGCAGACCAGGACCTTCATCTGCCTCTAGAAACCAGCTCCAGTTTTACAGTGGGGCGGGTGGCTGCTCCGGGACCAGCAGTGTGTGTGTGTCCCCAACTCAGAGCAGCTGCAGCCAAACCCTGGCAGGACCGGCACTGGAATACCGGGAAGCAGGAGCCACAGGGCCTGGGCAGGCACTGCTGCCTGGAAGGACAAGTCCACCCCCATGCTCTGGCATGTGCAGCCATTCCTGGTGTGGCTGCCAAGGGCAGCCCCCTCCCTCCAGACCCATCCTCCCTCCAGGTGCCCTCAGGGATAGGGACGTGGCATGGGCACATGATGGGACCCCAAACGGTGGCTCCTGTGCCGTGATCTGTGCTCTCCCATGCAAGCTGTTAGGGTTAATGGAACTGCAAACGCTGGTTAACACGGCACACGGGGTTAACCGAGGGTCTAAGTACCTGGCGCTGGGGCAGGAGCAGGGACAGCTCCAAGGGCAGCTGAGGCTGGACAAGCAAGAACAACAGTTTGTTAAGACAAGTCCTGCCGACCTCCAGGTCTGCCAGCACAGAACCTGGCTGTTCCCAATGTGATTCCCAACCTCAGCATTCTCAGGGAAGCTGGGCAGGGAAGGCAGCACTGGCCTGACCAGTGTAACTGGCACTGCAGCCGGTCAGGAGAGCAGAACTGGCCCAGCCACGTGCCTGCCCTTGGAACTCCAGCTGATCCCAGAGGCAGCACATCCCAGCACGTCCCGGCACATCCACAGGGAGGACCGGTGAGGGCCAGGCAGCTCCAAGGAGGAATCACCATCAGGTCAGGCCGGTTTACCAGGCCCCTGACACATCAAGGGAGTGAGAGATCCAGGTCCACCCCGTCCCAGTGACAGGAGCCCACAGGATGCTGCCAATACCCCATTTTCCCTGATCTGCCCCAAAATATGGGTGGTGGGACACCAGCACCAACCTGGAGCTGGGTGGCTGCCCAACAAGCACCAAATGTTGATGCCTCGTGCCAAAACAATTCCTGCTCCGATAAACTTATTGGTGCTTCCAAAAGAAGCAACAACCCTGCCAGGAGCCAGGGAACAGCTCATCCCGCCTGCCCTGTGACCTCCACCAAGACCTCACCAGCCCAAGTGAGTCCGTTCCTGCCATAACCACATTCCCAGTCCCTCCACTGACAAGCCAGGTTCCAAAGGATAAGGGGAACCAGCACCCCTGGCTCCCCCTGCACTGCCCAACAGGTGGCTCCGCAATGAGGGGACAAACACAACAGCCTCCACTTGCAACCCCTTCCCCCCATGCCGAGAGCCCCCACAGCTGCTCCAGCCTCCCCAGCTGCCCGTGTCACTTCCCTGGGACCCCCCGTGCTCGCTGGGGCTAGGGGAGCAGCTCCTGTAACAGCCTTTGCTGCCCAGCACACGCGGCCCACGCGCAGCTCGGGAGGCATGAGAGGCACGAGTTGTCACCTGAGACCTAGGAAAAAGCTGTCCCGTGCTCCAGCACAGGAATCCCAGCCACGCAGGGGTCCCAGACCCCTCCCCACGAGCCTGCCCAGGCCTGTCTGAGCCACCCCGAGTCCCCGTGCCAGCCCCGGACACCAGGAGGCTGAAGCCGGAGCAGAAACAGCCCCTGGCCCCACACGCCGTTCCGACCTGCAGACATGGGTCATCTTTCCAGATCCGAGAGCTCCAAGCAACAAGGAGATCGTTACCGTTTGCAAGGGATCATTAAAGCCTGCACGCGTCCCTGCCTGTCCCCGTCACGGTACTGCCGGGCCCCGACCCGGCTCAGCCCTTTTCCTCCTGCTGCTCCGAAACTCAAATCCGTAACGGGAACCGACAAGCAAGGTGCAAACCGGGGCCAGCTCTCCCGGCAGTTTGGGACGAGGAGGGGTCACAAACCATGGAACCTCAATCCCGGTTCCTGCAGGGACAACCGGTGCGGTTTTTGGGTGGGAAACTGCAGAACCAACACAGATTTCTGTGGCACGAAGAGACGGGACTCAGACCAGACCCCCCAACCGCTCCCCGGGGTACGGCGGGTGGGATCGGGACTTCACGCCGCTACCGGGTCCCCGGTGCGGGACCTCCGGCCCGCCCAACCCCGGGGCCCCCCGGGGCGGCAACGCTCTCCTCTTTTCCCCTTCAACAGCCCCGAGACGCCGGGGCCGGGCCCTTCCCCCGCCAGCCCCGAACCCCCCGGCCTCACCTGTCTCAGCC